TATATTGTCTTATATTCTTTATCTCACGCACTTTCGTGTAAATATTTATGGTTTCATACTCTTTTCAGAGGACACAGTTCTTCTGTTTTCTAAAAATAACCTGTTTATGCAGAGTCTTCTCTTTTCAAAACACTGTCCTTCTTCCTTTCACTAAGTTCATTTCCAAGATCTCTGTGTGTGGAAAGTAGTGAAAGAAGGATGTGTGTAACTTTACTGACAAAAGTATCTAGGAACAATTCTTGGATAAGCACCTTCAACGGTAAAGAGTCCTGTGAAAATGGACTCCATGCAATGTAGTAATTTTGTATTTTGTGTAAGGGCAAGAAACCTGAAAATTAAAATGTACCTGAACACAATACTAAAATCTCGTTTCAAGAAAACATTCATTTTTGTTGCTCAACGGCTTCAACTATCACATCATTTTTCAGTTTTTCCATTTCACTTCATCTAATATAATCCTGGATGTTCCAGCCCCTGACCAACACTCTCCATCCACTTCAGATGAATCCTGGAGCTGACACTGTTGCATGCACATTGGAGACACCAATGGACCGGAAACGTCCTTCCCTACCCCACCACGCACGCAGCCAAGCACTTAAAATTGTGAACCTCTCTACAGCCCATGAAGAGAATCCTCACAGTAATACAGTGCTTTCACCTCATTTTTCTGACACAGACAACTACCAGCTTGTAATGAAAATTGCTTTCTGATCCCAAGTTCAAAGCACTGCACCGCATCTGGGGCTGCTCAAGAACTCAAGCACATGCTCTTCCTGGAGAAAGGCGTGGGACAAAGCTCTTGGGCACTTCTAGACAAGGTCCAGGCAAAGCCAGGAACACTGCAGACCTGAGATACTATCGAACACATCACCCCCATTTAAATGGATGCTTTCCCACTTCATAGCATCTACATATGCCTGCAGATTCTCTTCGAACTGCTGTCCCCAAAACTCCTTACCTGGGGAGTGGTCCACCGGTTAACTCCCTAGACATGGAGCACTTTAGGTCGCCCTTCGGCAGCAGGTGTGCTGACAAACTTTAAGGAAGGCTGTAATCCCACTGAGCACCTCCCCTCGGTGACTGGACATCAGCCAGGACAAGAGGTTCCCAGATTTTTACAGGGATGCATGTTCTCTGCCAGAGAAAAATCACACTGAGCCTTTACCGCTCATTAACCGCTGTCAGACTCAGGCTACTGATACCCATACAGATGTTGCATATTCTATTTTAAAAGCACTGGAGTGCATTTGCAGTAAGTATCGGGATTAGATCCACAGGCCAGGGAAGTTTCCATCTGTCCAGTGCACAGCACTGCTTTAGTTATCTTTTGTTTTATAGAAGTTGTTGTTTCTACAAAAGCAATAGCAGTAGAAGAAGTGTCAAAAGCAAGTAACTTGGCCTGTTCATGTAACCTCTTTAAGACAGGACTTTATGCTATGACTTTCTGGTATCTGGATTACTGTCCGGCTTCCTTTAACACACTGGGAACATCCATCTCTACTGTATCCCACCTGTTTGGGATAAGATTTGACGTCCAAGAGAAGAGAGTGCTATTTTCACTTGTAACATCAAGTTACAGCCATGCCCACTGTACGCTTTGCTGCTATGCTGCATGCTGTCCACCTGCAAAGACACACAGCCTCCTGGACTCGAAGAATGTCCTCCATCCGAGGCGGAGATCCTTGAGGAAGTGACCATCAGACTGTCAAATATTACCAAAAGACCGAGCATGACATATGCCAGAACTGGAGTACTGCTTTACCTAGTGCATTTCTGCCCATCCTTTGAGCAAGTTTCAGTACAAGGTGTGGGGATTTCAACGTACCCATATTAAGAGGCAAATCACAAAAAGGTTCCTCTCAAACTGCAGGCACCTGCGAGGGGTTTTTCTAGTTCTGTATCACCCGCATAAGTCAAACAAGAGACCTTGTTCTATTGATGCAAATGCAACAGATAGGTTGCATTGCTTCAAGAACAACAGGATTTTTTTAGAAAAATTGTTTTAAGTTTTACCTTTTCAGGTATTTTTAATATCTCCCAAAATATCTGACAACATAGTGGTTGGCAAAGGGAAGAAAAAAGGCTAGAAAGCATTCTGGAAACAAAAGACAGTTGCTCATTCATGCTGTCTACAATTCCTTCGGCTCACAGAAGTCTGAAGAAAAGACTCTTGCTTCACAGTAAAAAAAAAACCAAACCCTCTGCTGTCCTACCTTCTCTCCTCCATGATGTGTGATGGAATCCAGAGTCACAAGCTGCCCAGACCTCACAGCAAAAGGCATGTCCTAGGGCAGCTCATTCACTCCCTGACACCCTAAAGGCAGGCAGCCTTTCCCCTAAAACAGAGAATCTCACCGTATCCTTTTGCGTAACATTCTTTACATACTTTGCCTTACACTCCCAAAGCACATTTATTTCAATCAGACAGTGCACGTGTGGGCTTCGGGGGGTTTGTTGGGGTTTTTTGGAGATTTTTCTTTAGCTTGATATTCTGCACTCTTCCTGAAGTTGGCCATTGTGGTTAAAGATTATGCTTTGTTACGAAAGCAAACCAAGTGCTTTCACTTCGAAAGGGAGAGCGCAAAAAGAAGCAGCCAAAATGTGGTGATTCTCACCTGCAAGAGTGACAAAACAACGTGTGCGATTCCGCACCCCGAATCAGTTAATTTCCCCTGAAAAAGCAGCTTATCGTGGAAGTTCGCACTCGCTATGATTCTAACCCGCACAACGCCGACGTCCCGCGTAAAGCCCCCCAGGCTCACCCTCACACCTGGGGAACGTGGGCGTGGGGCAACGTCGGTCACCGGTTACCAGCCTTGGGTTTACTTTACAAGGCACTCCCGATTCTCCGTACTTCCAACGGCTTGGTTGGCCGCTGCTGGTATCTGCTCTTCCCCGCTTCCCTTGGCTTCAGAGTGAGGCAGCAATGCACAGTTGTGTTACCCTCCCTTTAACGTAGGACAAAGCTGGGCGCAGCTCAGAAAGAAATCCCTAAAATCCATTACCTATTTATGATCGTGTACAAACGGGTATTTATCATGTTAAAAGAGAACCATATGTTAAAGTGGAGGCTAGAGCCCAATAAATCTTTCTGGATGAAATCCCTTTTCAAAAAAAAGGAATAAAATAATTAACATTTGCTTTTGCCAGTAGAAACATTTGCTCACGAACCTCCTGGGAAGGGAAGGGCATTTAACCTTTTTACATGCCATCCCCCTCAGACATCTCTGACCCCCACTGCAAAACAGACAACAAAGATTCCCGACTCCACGCTGCTGATTAAACCCCTTGTAAGAAACATCTGGATGAAATTTTCTTGGCAGTCGATTTGAAAAGTGTACAAGAAGCAGAACGAGGGAGCAGCCACAGTTCAGCTGAGTGACACAAAGATGAAGCTATGCAAAAGCAGATTTTTCCCTGAACGCATTAACTCCTTAATATTCTCCATGACAGTGTAGAGAAGGAAAATGGGGTTGGAAAGAAACCCACCTCAGCACCCTCATTCTTGCAATAAAATAATATAGGGCTTAAACAGTTTACCTGCCTAATACTTAATTTCAAGTCAGGTGTCGTCCATGTCCTTAACTTCCTCCAAACATTTCTTCCATTTGTGAAGGATTTCAGAACTTCTGTGATTTCTGAGAAATTCACCAACAAACGGGGTGTTTGTTGCCTTCCTACCCTCTCAGTCAATGCACCCCCAGCCCCAAATTAGCAAAGGTGACCTATGATGTGCATGGCCTGACGTTCAAAATAAAAGATGTCCTGGCCCTCTGCTGCTTGAGCTTGAAGAGCCTCTCCTAGGCAGCTCAAGGTTCAAGTTCACTTTTGGAAATGCAGACCCTGGAATTCTCAGTTTTCCATATGTACAACAGACCTAAAAGTGAGAAAATTTTCACTGTTGATACTAAGTGAGTAGCAGCAGTGAAAAACCTACACGAGCGAGGCCAACTTTATTCTGCAGTGTTGAGGGGAAGAAAAATAAAAAGTAGCAGCAGAGAACAGCACCAGAGTCTGACACAAAGGTGTGGGAAAAAGGAAAGCAGTGGGCAAGCCTCTGCTCCACAGCTGCCAGGCTGAGAAAATTCCAGGGGATGGGGCAGACAGACACACTTTGGCCTTTTCCAGAAGCCAAGGTGTAAAGCGCTTCAGATTTAGACTGAATTACTATTACTCTGACATATAAAACATGAAAGCTTCGGCACAGTGCAGGGCCAGCAATCTGTAATTCGCCGCAGTCGTCGGAAACGTGACAGGGTATGGGAAGGGCTTCGGCTTTTTGGTTGAGACGCTGCTCTAAAGAAATCCGTTATCCGTATGTGCTTGAAATTGCTTGGTAAACATTTTCAAGTCATAAAGAAATTAACACATAGAGACAAAATCTGGTCTAAACATTTTATCTCCAATCCAAACTTCGCATTCTAATGCACCCCTTATTTTGGTTACACCACTGCCATCCCCATAGATCTAAAGGAGGGGCACCTATTCAAATTAGCACTGCTATCAGTTTCTCACTAAATGAACTTATTCATTTGAATTGAAGCCATTCATTGCAACCAGTCTTCAAAATTTCAGAAAACATCTGGCAGATAATGAAATTTCAGTATGGGACAAGAACAGCCAAATGGAATGCAGACCAGAAATTCAATCACAGAAGAGTAAGAGTAAGAAGAAATAAGTTTGGAGCTGTTTTTCTTCTATCAAGATAAATAAAATATTGTAAATATTTTGTACCACATTATTCAGTTCTACCACTGGAATGGCAATGAATAAAACCAGGACAGAGATCTATAGAATCCCAAATAAAATCCAATATTCGTCAAAAAATAGTGGAAATAAAAAGTTGTCATGTGGAACGCTTACAGGCAAGGGCCCCACGGCTTGTCCAGGCAGGAGGTGGTATCCGTGTGGAGTTAGGGCAGCCCCCCGCCACGTGTGCCACCGGAACTCAGACGAGTTGATTTCATGGCTGAGAGAAATAATTTAAGCCTACTGCACCTAGGGAAAATCAGTGATTCTGTTGAGACCCTCTGACGTAACCAGTGTATGCTCTGCAGCTCCAACAGACGCTTCCCTGCGCGCAGTCGGTCTGCACCAAAGAGGGAAGGTGAGACAATCCAGCAACGCATACGCAACCAACGAACAATTAAAAAGCAGGTGACTGGAAAACAAGGAACCAAGGCTTACAGTGTATCAAGAAATGTCCTTACACTTAAAAAATTATAATGCACTCCAAAATCCATTTGTTCAGGCAATCCATGTACAACAGAAGGCACTGTTATCCATACGAATCTATCAGTTCTGCACAGCAAAAACCTGAGAAGTGCAACTCAATTAGATGCAGCCTGGCCCCTCCCAGTCATTCAGATTCCTGGAGGACAAATGTTTCCTTTCAGTCCATCAAATTATAAAAACACCACAAGAACTTGTACATTACAGTAGCTGGTTAGAAAGAGCATTCTGGTGGGGGAAGCACACTGCTATTTTCCAGAAAACCTTCAGCAGCATTAAATTACCCTCCCCTATCACTCAGAAGTCACGATGATTTCAGGAAAATGTGACGATGAGAAACTTCCCATTGACCTTTGTAGCTGATCCTTCAGTTGCCACCAGGAGTACTTCCAGCAAAGTTAAATGCGGTGAGCAGTCCTTTGTTGTCGAACGTGTAGCCACTTTGCTGTTCTATTGTCTTAGTCTCTAGAATACAAAGAAGGGAAAGGATATGAAAAAATATTCCATAGAGAACACTTTTGCCAGAGACCATACAGCTTAGCTGGGAGTGCAAAGCTGTGGGAAAAACTCTCGAGTCAAAATTTCACTCCCTAAATGCAGTGACAGTAATGAATTACACTCAGATTTTCTCTACATGCATGAACGCACACACCTCTACAACAGAGCTGAGAAATTCAGACTCTACAGAATCAGCCCGTGTTACACTATTCCAGCGACTTTTGATTAAATCTGAATCTATTTTCCACAATGCAAGCTTTCTAAACATCTCAAACCTTACACTGACGGTGAAGGCAATGTTAGCAGTTAAAACACATAATAACCTACAGTAATCTTCATCAAGATTGGCTGACAGCTAGATATTGCCTTAATTTGCTGCTCTTTTCAAATGTCAGACTGTGCAAAACTAGTCCGTACCCTGTTCGAACAGCAGCACGTCAATGAGAAGGCAATTAATTAGAAGCAACAGTAATCGCTCCGAATAACACGCACTTCCCAGCAAGGGATAATATCAGTACAACATCCTACTCACGCTTCTCAGGAAATGTGAATTAGCACAGAGATCTACACTGTCTGTTGCTACAGATGGGGTGCAGTTCCAACACCAGATCAAACGGCCCCAGAGAATCGCAGAATGGGTTGGGTTGGAAGGGACCTTAAAAGCGACCCACCTGCAGCATTTCGCCGGTGTTCCGCTAATGTATAGATTTCCTGCAGCTGTTTCTTCTGATCCTCACTCAGGGGTGCTGTCAGCGAATGGTACCAGGCTGCATCTCGGCTCTGCACCGCTGGCCGAACGGGAACGGAGGAAGAGCGATTACCAGGTTACATTGGGAGTTAAGTTCAGACGGACAAAATGAAACACATGGAATCGCTGGTTGGTTTTAAAGCAGAATGTGCACTGCAAACCAGGATCAGTATTCCTGTCAGTTTTCTTAGCACGGAATCACCACTGTAATAGAGGCAATCGGTTTTGGGGAACTTAATTACATCTGCTGCTTTCTGAAACGGGAAGTTAACCATGTGGCCATTATTCACGGCCAACGACAAAATGAATCTTCTAATTTAAAACATATTAAAACTAAAAGCAACAGGATTGGTCAAAGAGGAAAGGGAGAAAATAATTTCTCCATTATGACTTTAACACCTAGGAAGTGACAAATATTTCTATATATAGGAGTCCCTCCAGTGACAGAGTCCCACTTGTTTAGGCTGTGATTGAAAAGTTCTGAAAGAGACCATGAAGACGTTTCATCTCGGGCTGTATTTGCTACCATTTGTTTTTTGCAGAACTTGTAAGACACAAAAAACTTAGGACCACCATTAGAAAGCAAGATCACATTCTCCAGTTTCAATAATCTAAAACATTACTCCTCCCAAAGAAGAGGGGTTTTCCCGGTGATGATCATAAACACATCCAAACTATTCCATCATGTTTTATTCTGCCAACCAGCAAACACGTACCTAAAAGTGCTTGTGTGAAAAACTGGTATTCGTCAACACCATTTTCAAGGTCAAGAGGTGTGCTGAACCCTTCAAGAGCAGTCTCTTCCAATGCATCTTCATCCCAGTCATCATCATCATCGTCTTCATCCTCCTCCTCTCCACCTCCACCACCACCCCCTCCTCCTCCACCATGGTTCTCTTGCATCGCCGGGCTCACTTCATTCGTCTCCTCCTCATCACTCGGTATCTCTTCTGCAAAAGCATTGATGTGTTTTGTAAAGCAAAGTTTAAAAAGCGTAAGGAAACAATGACTTATGGATGAAGAACAATGAATAAATCTAGGTTTCCCCCAAAATCTTAGAAGGCTTGGAAAAATGAAGCTGTTAAAATGTTCCCTGCATTCAGGACCAGTTAAAGTTTTGTTTCCAAGCACACCTGGAGAATGAGAAACCACCATCTTTTTTCTTCTTTCACTGATGCAGTCATTGTACAATTAAAGAATCCAAAAATCTCGAGAAAATGTGTCTTTGTCAGTGTGTTCCATCACTGTGCTTTTTCAATTACGAACAAATAGACAGTTGCACAGACTTTACAAGTTGACACAAAACAAAGAGAAACCCAGCTGTAGACCCCATGTCTGCCCACTCTTCTTCAGAGTGCCTCTTCATTTGAACAAACTTAAAACAGCATCTTCGGCTTAGCTTTCCCTTCCACTCTGCTTACTGAATTAAATGCAACTCCAACACGCAATTCTCAACACTGCTGTTTCGTACTTAAGGAAAAATATTTCTGATTTATAATCAAGATCGAAAAAATTCTCCCTCCAATTCCAAACCTTCAGCTCTCCCTGTGTTAACAGTTTAGAAAGAATAATGATGACGGTATCTGCGACAAGCAGAGGGACTGATTCACAGGACGGCGATCACTGTGCTGTGTTTATACCGTACTTCTGTGCATTGAGAAGAATTCTCTAATTCCATTACAGAACAATCATGTGTGAAATTTGAGTGGATTACATAATCTTCTTACATCCAATCTAATTTTCAGACCTCAAACCATCTATCTCCTGTTCCAAGTCAAATACAGTAACACATATCTGCCTCCAATTTTGGGTAAAATTCACTCCCCGTAATTCCTACCACAAGGTATTTTCGATGTTTTTTCTCTTCTGGCAGACACAGCAATAAGAGGTCTGTATGTTGTCTCAAACCCCACTTTACAAATCACTTTCCATTTGGACAAAGAAGACTTGCTAGTATTTCCTTCCAAGAACAGGTCTTTCAAATAGCTGGGTACTAGGAACAGCTTCTTTCCAGGAATCAAGAATATAACCAGTGCAGTCCTGGCAAGCTCCTGCTGCCTGTGTGAGAAGACGGAGCTCCTTCACAGCCCAGAAGAGTGGACTTGTAAGTTTTATTGTTACTCTTAAACCAATACTACCCCTTCACAAAGTGTTAGCTGATACACACTGCAATGTTCTGATTACATTTTGGAAGGAAAAATCAATCCCTAAGATGCTCTTTCAAGGACCCAGGAAGCCTAGCTATTTTCAGCAGATTAATGACTCTTAAAAACAAACTGCAATTTCTTACCCCCTTTAAATTAAATCCAGACAAAACCCCCAATGTGAAAAGGGGAGATCTTACCATTATCTTCTGTAACGTGTTTTTCATCTTTAGCATGATCCTCATGTTCCGTGAGTTCTCGTAAGGCGCACACTTGTTTTAAGCCCAGGAAGAGGAGGAGGATTGAAGGGACAATCTGGGCAGCCACAGCATCCACAGCAGGTGGTCGGTTCTGCAATTCCATTAGGATGCTCAGTCCTATTATACACATCTTTCTGTCATGGAGTCTGAAAGAACACACACTTGTTAGACAAAATACAGATTTTCACTGCAAGGCTATGTAGCCAGCATGAAACTCCTGGTGCATGACAGAGCAGAAGACAGAGACAATGGACATGAATGGCTTCATGGTCCTTCCCGGAGAGGGTGGTGAGGCACTGGCACAGGTTGCCCAGAGAAGCTGTGGATGCCCCATCCCTGGAAGTGTTCAAGACCAGGCTGGATGAGGCTTTGAGCAACCTGGTCTAGTGGCAGGGAGGTTGGAACTAGATGGTCTGTAAGGTCCCTTCCAACCCAAACCATTCTGTGACTCTATGACTACAAAGTCCACGTTCGAAGCCCCTGAACACATTGTTTCCTTTGTTCTGAATGCAAGTTCCCCACTGGAAAGTACTTGTCCAATAACAATTAAGTATCTTTCAAGCACTGGCCAAATTCCTGGAACAACTGTTTCTGATTGCCAAATGCAAAGTTTGTAATGCTAAATAAATACTGTTTCATAATTATGTAGACTATCTTGTCTTTAATAAAGCATTGGATACAGATTATCATCATTAAGTAGGATGGAAAATTAATTTGCCTTGGCTTCAATAGCAGTACTGTTGCAGGGATTGAAATTAGCAAAAAGACTATTAGTGAAGAGCAATGATAAAAGCAGGAATACACTGAATTGCAGGGGGCTTTTACGGAGTGCCACAGGGCTCGCCGTATTTAAACGTGCTTATTACAAGTCCATCAGAATGGCTGTATTATACATCCAATTTCCAACACTAACTTGAGGCACATTGCTAACTCCAGTGAAAGCAGGGAAATAATTCCACCATATCAAGAATAATTGCCAGTACACTCAAACAGGGAACTTGCAAATGAGTAGACCTGCAGTAAAATAAACAAGCAATAGATAATTGAAGGGAAAGAAAATCCTGAAATTAACAGCAGAAAGATTTTTATGTGGCCATAGGCAGGAAACTAGGTACGAGTCTATGCTCTTAAAAATACGAATTTATTTTCACTTCCAGAAATAGAAGTTATTTGCAAACAAGACAGGGAAAAATAACTGCCTCTGATGATACTCTTTGGTTCTCCTTTGCTGGAAACGCCAGTAGTATTCAACTGTTCTCTAACATTATGGTATTTTGCTATTAAGGGCTTGAGAGGAGCTCGTTTTGTTTGAACTATCCACTTCGATGCTGACAGCTTCTGTGCAAGCCTTCTGCAGGACAAGTAGCTCCCGCAAGACCTACAGAAACCAAGCAACCCTCCAGAGCTGGTAGAAAATGGCCATCCTCCAGACCCTCGGTAGACAATTCCATTAGTGAAACAGTTTTACTTTGGAATGAAAAGGATCCAGGTTGAGAGAGAAGAAACTAAGATGATGTGCACCATAGGCTGCAATAAAGCTTACAGAGGAAGAGCCAGCTCGATCCACCGCTTCAAAAACTGCTCTAGAAATACAATTTTAAAAGTGCTTACAATGTCCTTACCAAACGTCCCATATAGCATGCTACTGCACTGCAATATTTTTAAAGTAATATAAGTGATCTTGTATTGCAGCTTTCTGAACTTTACACATGCTTAAACCAGGCTGGGGATCTGAAGGGATTTCCTGACACCTCCCACGTTGCTAGTGCTGTTGGTGCTTAGTGAAATTATTCCTTTCTCGGAGTAGTTGACAATAACAATAAATTAAATATGACCATGAGTAACATTACGATCACAGAAGGCCTTCCAAGAAAAACAAAGTCAACTAGCATATCAAATGCCACACTTGTGTCATTTAGGTTTGGCTGCTCCATTACACGTGTTGAAAAATGTACCCTAGGCAGACAGCGCCCTTCCATCGCTGCTAACTGCAACGCTTTCTTTTCAGAAGGAATGGGACATAAAAGAGGGCATACAAACCAAAAAGGCAAACTTGAGTCAGAAGAACAGGGACTGCTTTTACAAAAATAATGAAACCCTTTCCTCCTGTCAGTTTATTTATGTTGAAAACAAGCTCATGGCCATTCGCTCTCATGCCAACGCTGTGAAGACCAAAATCCAAGCTAAAGATGATGCCACCTATGAATGAAGCATAGCTTTTTTGGGAGAGTGCTCCTTACTGCAAATACAAAAGGAAAGAACTTTCTCTACCTCCTCTCTCTGCCAGCACCTTCATCCAAGTTTGACCCAAGCTCTGTAATCGATGCACAAGACTTCTATCCTGCATCCTGACCCTGGGAAGCCATGAAATTTCCTCATCCCCAAATGTATAATGAAGCAATTTCAGTGTATGTGAGCCAGAGTAGTTCATGACACTCGGCACTACCTTTTATAACACATTTGAGAAAGCTACCATTACACAATGCCTGTTGCAAACTACAACACAGTTAAAAAACCATAGTAATTAGTGCCTTAGCTTCATACCAAGTTATCTTTTCTGGACAGCAAATGAAAGTGCAAAAATCCAGCACTGCTGTTCATTAGGAAGTAGCCCAAATGACCAAAAAAGACAGCGTATTTGTCATGCTCCGTTTTCAAGCTTCTAAACAGAAAAGTTGGAAGAATGAACACGCCTTCAGAATATGCTGGTTATTAGAAGGCCCAGCAGGCCAGCAGAAATCCAGGTGTCAAGCCATCACCAGTGAACCTCAGCCAGGAGGAGACTTGTTTCTTCCACCTACCAGCAAACAGCAGGACAAGCATCCGCCGCTCCCGAAGTTCAGCATTCTACTATGCCCCAGCTGTATCAAGTACCCACAGGACGGAACAAGCAAAACACAGTTTTATGTCATTTACATATTTTTGTAACAGCAAAGAATGGTTTCAGAACCATTCCTTGGCTAGAAAAAGGTTCATTATTTCAGTGCCCTTCCATCTGCACGAGGGAGCCTGGATACACTTCTCCTTAGTGCTTTGTGCTTCGAGATCTGCACATCTTTGCTCAACAGCACACAGCAGTCGTCCCTAACAATCACGGACTCTGCCTGCTCCCTTGGTGGTAAATCGAGCCTGGAGTGCTGAACGTGCAACACACGACTCCTAGGGAAGTCTGGTTTTAACATGCTGTGTGTGGTCTTCAGAATCTGCAGGACCTGCTCTTGCTAACACACTTCTTCCCAATACAGGGCAAGAAGACCTAAGAATCTTCTGTATTTTAAAACGAGCTGAAAGGATTTCAAAGGGAAATCACTAAGCCTTTCCTTTACTGGTTTGCTGTGCTCCTTTATGTAAAGATCAAGTTGCTTTCTATTACATCAATCCAGTTCCTGGACAAACTGCAAATAATTAGCCATTTCCTTCTAGTTGCAAAGTTGCAACCAACCCTGTTTGCCTATATAAGATTGGGATTTTATATACAATTCTGAGAAAACTAGGATTTCTAACTGTTTAAACTCCTATTAAATACATTCAGCTAGTTAAAACAAACAAAAAAAATCACTTATTTAGGGTTTTTTTGAGCAAGTTAAAGTTTACTTTCACCCCAGTTTCTACAGAGGAATTTTTAGTGTAAGAGTAAGCATAGGTCAAGTCTCACCATAATTTCAGGCTGTCAGGGAAAAAGGTGGAGAGCAGTAAGGAACAAATGTTATTACAAACGGCTTTCCAGTCCTTTGCCCTTATGTAATTTTAAGTCACAGTAGAAAATATGCAGAAATAAATAAATACAATATCCTCTGGTACAAGGGCATTATGGGCACACATCCACAGACGTGTAACATCCACAATGACACACTGCATTTATGCACAGTTTTACAATGAGTTCTGAGCTCTCCTTGCCTGGATTACTTTTAACATTCCAAATTTCTCATCAGTTTTAAATCATTTCCATATTTTCAATAACATGGAAGAACAGTTATTTACCTTACCCTAACTGCTTCCCACTCCCCCCAAGATGTATTATTCTCATGAATTCCATCTCATGTGTTCACAAGTGATGCTCAAAAATTGCTGCATTCTTTTGGCAAAGCCCGCTGGCTCCAGCCTGAGAGCGTGCAGACACGCACAGCCCTGCTGCTAGCAGAGCAGGATCTATGGGTACTGGGACTTCACAGGAGCAGAAGGAGGACAGAGAGGCGGATTTATGTGGACAGAGCATCTCGAAGGGCTGCTGTTACCAGCAGGTCACAGATTTCCCACATGGCTGACAAAGAAATGGCAGGAAGATTCATCTGGTCCTTCACACCTGGAGGTGGATCTACTTTCACCTTCCTCAATTCCTCTAGGATCTGTGAGTCTTCCAACTGATTTGAATTTGAGCCCAGAAGTGCCTCTTGCTGGAAAGCAATCTAACTGTAAAGCAAAGCAGCAGCGAACGATGGCTGGTGAGAAAAAGGACTGTACGAACCATGGTGCCCACTGCTGCGTCACTGATGAAGACGTGATGAAGCCTGCAGGGGTGGGCCCGAGGAAGGGTTTCAAGAAAGCCAGATTTCGTTTGCATTTCTGTCTCTTCCTGCTCAGTCAGGTCTCTGAATATCTGGCTGCTGTTCAGATAATGACTGTTACTACCCTTAGTAAAACGAATGGTCTTCTAGAAGCAGTGCTGTCCTGGGGGAAAGGGAGGAAGGCCCTTACATCACATCACAGGGCCTGACAAGCTGTACTACACCAAAAGTCCTGCACCTGGAAGTCACACACTGAGGAGATGGCACTGAAGGAAGAGTGATTTTTAGATTTAAGCAACATTACAGATATTTATTTCACTGCTGGTAGCAGCAGATCAAAGAAAGAGATTTTAATCTGCTGCTGCTGTTCAAGTGCAGGGTCTGAGCAGAATCTAGTGGGATGATCTGAGTGTTTCACTTTCATAGGCTTTGTCAACTTTTCTCTCAGCTTTGAAGAATTCAGTTGAACAGTAGATGCAGTAGCTGATGCTTTTTGAAAAGCAACAAAAAAGAAGTGAAACTTGAGCTGTATAGCTCACAGGAGTACTTGAGGTTGGAACCTAGTCAGATCTGCAGCATTTTTCCCCTCTGGATATGACTAGTTTCTCACTGAATTCTCAGGGATGAACTGTTTAAGGATATAAATCTCTTTAATTTTTTACTTCTTCTAAAAAAGGAATGACAAGTTTACCGCCTATAGGGAATATCTTCTTTCATACTGTCTCTTTATGTGTTCAGCCTTTGATATGCAGTAGAAAAAATGACAGCACAAAAAGCTGAATCTCAAGAACTTTGCTTCAGCCATAAAAAAAAATCATACATGGAAAACCTAAGATGTCTTGCTCTCCTCTAAAGATGGTAGATATAAAAAAATTAAGTAATTAGCAATAATATTACCACAAAGTGTGGGAGAGGTAGACTTAAAGGGGCCCTTTTTCAGCCACTGGCACTCCAAAAGAAATAAGGGATATTGGGTCCTTTATGCCTTCTTTGTCACCAACCCAAGTAACCCCCCCAACAGATGCGCGTTTATGTTAAGATACAGGATGTGCTGTACACATTCTGTACACACAGCAGGTAGGAGTCAGAATGCTTGTGATAACATGAACTGTCCAGTTTTGTTATCATGAATAAGAGGTTTTTTACCCACATGTCTTTCTGTTTAATTTAGTACTTTTAATTTTTTTTTTCCTTCAAGAAGAGACTGCTATGGTAATACCTGCAAATACAGATGGACACTGAGGCAGTAACGCAGCTATACCAAGATGGCATATAATTCTGTTCAAGAAAGACTACCTCAAATAAGGATTGGTGTGGAGAAAAGCTATTTCGATTAACGGGGTGTGGAGAAACCATCTTCTAAGAACCACCCTTGAGACTTGATAGAATTGGAAAGCCAAGACTGTACCAATAAAAAAGAGGCAGGAGAATAACGACCACCTATACTAAGGGTATGGATTTATGGGTCAGGAGCTGCCAGCCTGTGCCCACGTCCACTCATGGCACGACTCCTAACACGCTGACACTTCACTGGCATGGGTTACGCACAGGGAAGGCAGGTTCTAAGCCCACCCCTACACCTGCAGTCAGATGTTAGCCTCCAATGACAAAACGTAACTCATAGCAGGGAGGTGAGAGGTAGCTGTTAACTACATCTGACCGTCTGCTTTGCCCGAAAGTGGATTTGAATCTCAGTCAGACGCTCTATCTCAGCTGAGAGGCAAGCACTAACTGTCGAGCGCCGGACTTCACATCCGCCCAGCATCAAGTGCATGCTTAGCTGTGTGACAACAGGCTTTGTACACCTTCATTTACTTTACAAATGCTCAGGTTCTGCCCACGTGCGGGCTACTGCAGTGTGGACACATGTTCAAGGGAAGTTGGAATGAAGGTTAAGTTCAGGAGTACGCTAAACAGTCAGTATGTCAATGGCATAATGACAAATATGCAAAGTGGATCATGAACAACTCGCAGGGATCAAAATCAGAATGTGGACTCATTGGGCAGAACAATGTTTTTTTAGCATTAAATGGAGCAGTTAAAAATACTTTATAAAATAGAGAACAGAAAATATGTATACACTGTGTTTCAGGAAAAAAGGTAACATCTCGCTGAAATCCTGCTGGTCAGCTCTGAATATCGCCCTCAACGCATGCTGGACATCTCTTGAAGAAGCAGATAGTTTGTGATTAGGAACTTAAAAGAATTCTGAAATATGATATGTATTGTATCCTTATAACTTCACAGCATGGGAAATTCAGCGTGTATGTCTGTGTGGTATTCAGCTGCTGGCTGGGATAACACCACGACAGTCACCCTTACTGGCACCAAAGCAATAAGACCCGGTGTGGATTGCTCTGACTTAGACTAACCGAGGAATGAGAACTCTTTTCTCATCCTCAGTATCCCAACATGACTAGGGATACAAACGAAAGTGATCCAAAAACTCAAATCTGTGGACTTTAAAAAGAAAACAAACACAATACTTGCCCAAGAAAACAGTCTGTGTCATTCATCCACTGGTTTATGAACTGTGCAGTGATGGGCTCAGGATTGTGGGGAAACCTGATGTTCTCTAAGGTGTGCAGAAGTAGGTCAGGATTGTAATAGAGTGCAGCTATGGCAACCTGAAGACACATGGTACGAAGCTCGCTTGTTTTAACTCCTCTCGTTAGCCGCTCCAGAACAGCCTCCACAAAGAGTGGAATACACTGGGCACATAAGGGAGGAAAAAACCCAAAACAACAGACATTATACATGTTGGCAGATGATAGAAAAGTTTAAAATACTTTTATCAGAACTGATCTCAAGAGTTAACTGAAGTACACGTATAACCTAGGAATGCATTCTATTCACTGCCTACTATAAATGCTTTTTAAACCTCTTATTACGTGCTTACAAATCTTCCCCAAAACAGCTATTCTCTGAGCTAAAAATCGCCAGTGTTATTCTCAGCACAGAGGAGAATATTTGGGGCCATTTGGTGGAACTTGTTCTAGCGTTCATAAAAGGTTTAGAAAAAAACCTCAGACATTTTCATCTTTGAATAATGCTACTCAACAAATTCCAAACCAACAGGCATTAACAGTGAAATGACCTAAATCTACAAGAAAGAAGCTTCCCCTAATAAATGTAAAGTGATGTTAAATTTCTGATGAAAGTTTGAAATGAGTGAGCTTATTCAGATAATAGGAAGTATGCACACATTTCTGCACAATGAAATAAACATCTACACGTTTCAATGTGCAGCTTTATGTTGTCTAATATTTGGGAAGCATTATGAATGTTTTACTGTAGCAGTTTCAGTTCAGTGTGCAACCATTTTAATCCACAGAGCTACGGAGCTCAAATAAGCCTTCCACCACATACCTGCTCCAGTGCAAATGCATACAATTCACTTTAATCCTTTCCACATTTCTTTTAAAAATAGTGTCTTTCAGGGAACACTTTTATCTTCAATTACGCCAGGTTTCCATTAGTAAAGTTATATTGGTTCCGGTGAAGTTAACTGAAAATTTATCACTCAAGTCCATGGACTGCACTGTGGCAACATCAAACGTGGTATGTTAATTTAGGCTGGAGCGTTATGTAGAACAGAAGACCAGAATTTAGCCCTCAGTATGAGGCAGGCTACTATCGAAAAGTGTATTCTAAGAAACTTGGGAAAATTGTGATTATGTTTCTCCCAGCAGTCACACTAAAAGTTTTTCATTTCCAAATGCACTGAGCAATTCAGAATGTTCAAAAGTTCATATTGCTTGGAGAAAAGACTTCAGTAGTTGGAGGTGTATAGTTAACCTCTCAGCCACAACAGTTTTAACAACGTGTTTTGCATCCAAGGGGAAATCCTATTAGTAGAAAGCAAAATAAGACAACGCTGCACCTCACGCGGTATCCTTGCCATTCCCTTTATATTCATTTTCCAACCCACTAATCTCAAACAAAAAAAAAACCAAAAAAACACCCAACCTTACAAACTCCCCTGAGCTCGTTTACTTCTTTCTGTATTTCTCCCCATTTTACACACTTTACATTTCCCTCAAATTCTCTAATTTCAACTGCTTTTCTCAGGACTCATACACGTTATCATTGGAAACCAGCAAAAGAGAAAACCTGTTGAATGTGTATCACCTGGTCAATGCCCCGTCCTTTGCACTGAAGAACAATTACTTCTAGGAGTTTGGCTGCATGACACTCTGCATCTTCTCCTGCATCTCCTGTCAATACCTAACAACCAGAATAACAAGGTTGTGTATCAGGATTGGTCACTGACAGCTTTGAAAGCAGGTGCTCCTGTACCTGCACACATCAAAAAGCCTCTACATGGCACATACATGGCTATTCATGCTGCGTTTTGTGAGGGATTAAGGCACATAAAAATCACCTCTACAGGACATAAACAAGGGTAAGTGGCTAAAGATGAATTTTTAAAAATTAGAAGAAGTTGCTATAGTTCTTTATGAATGTTAGCATTATTTATATGCCACTGCTTTCCCTTTTTTAAAGGAAATGTTACTTACAAGGCTCATTGATGTCTTCCATATTCTGGCTCCCCTTTTTTTACTTCAGTTCTAATAGACACTGGCAGATTAACAGCCTGGCAACGTGAAGTCCTCCCTCTAGGCCAGTTTCTGATTGAAACCACTCTACGTATATGCGCATGTATGCGAAACTGATGGCTGCTTCTCAGTACGTTTCAACCCTACGGTCCGTGTCAATCAAACCCCACAAAGAAGCAGAATTCTCAAACGCATTCAACCTCTACAAGTTTCTTTGAAATAAGTAGGTATCACGATGCCTTAACACTCCATAATGGCCAAAATCAGAGAAAGGGTGATCTCACGCTTTATGATACATGAGAGAATCCACAAAAAAAGAGAAACGTTATAAATGTAGGAAGAACTTGCAATGAGTTTGCATCTTAGCTGACAACTAGGGAATCCAGTCGCAAGAGACACAACCCAAAGAAATCAGGCTTCATTAACTCCTCTACTTAACCAAAATAGCTGTTCACAGAAGAGAGTCAAGATGAACAGCAACTTTCTCCCACACAGATTTGTGCATGAGATTTTTCAAAAAGCGTGTCACGTACAACTGTGAAGGTGCCGTGTTTACTCGGAACTGCGCCGGGACCAAATTTCAAGTTGTTCTGAAATGACTGGCCACCACCTGGCATGTTCAGGTCACGCCGCTGATCTGTTAAGTACCAGGGACAAGTGCAACAGCAAGCTCAGAAGCCTTACCTTTTTACACATAGCATAAATGATTTCTAAATGCTTTGGGTTAGACAGTAAGGTATTGGTGTCAACAGTCACATAATTATGCAGGAGAGGCATCATATCTGCAGAACAGGGAGAGCAAAAGAGAAAAAAAAATGACAAACTAACACATGCAAGTGCTAAGCAGTGAGGCTGCAGTCCTATAACGGGATTCATTGGCTCAGTTGCTTGGATATGTTTGGAAATTCAAACTGCAAGAGCCTATTCTAGCAGAATTCTTCAGGAAGTGCACCACTCAGGGTGCATTCTCAGAAGAGGAAATAGAAAAGGAATTTTAATTAATTAATTTGTAGTTTCACATTAACTTCTTACATTTCAGCTTTCTTCAAGTTCAGGACCTCCTACAATAACTGATCACACTGACAGATTTGAACATGCTTCTCCTACTTCAGCATGCTCCTGTTACACTCCCACACAAAACAGACGTGCAGGGCGTGACTCAAGTGCACCAGCATTTTAAACCAAGGCACTAAATGGAAGCGACCCTCATTAAGGTGGGTTTTTCAGATGAATTCCCAAGCAGTGGCAATATGAACAGAATAGCAGTGATCATACCTGCAAAGTACTCGAAGCAATCTTGCTGGAAAACCTCATATAGAACACCTAAAAGCTGCCACATTTGAGGTGATATCATCTGGCATGTCAAGCTGTAGGCCAAGGAGAGAATTTCTTCGTAAAACTCTGGAAAGGAGAAACAATTTGAGTGGAGTGCTTTAAAAAATAAATTTGATTTGCAAATACCTGGAAATCTGAAACCATGTAACAACGAGAAGACAGCAATTAGTAACTGAACCAATATGTAGAAAAATAATACAAACTGGAAAAGATTCTTTCGGATGAGCCTAATGTTGGTTACAGTTACACCAATACGCCTATATTTTAATTATAAATACACACCAGAAAAATATCTTACACAGCACAACAAAGCCAGGGCTTCTAAATGATTTACTGAAAAATATTCTTATTTACTTAACTTTTGGTTTTTCTCAAAGGCCTTATCACAGAACTGTGTAGCTCTTCAGTGCAGGGTACTGATAAAGCAGTAATTTAATTGCCTTCCATGTAATTGTAGACATTGCCCTCTACCACAGCTAGCTAGAATTATAATCAGAACCGCGTCTTCTGCTTCTGGGTCTGACCTCCAAAACACAACAACCAGCCTGACTGATGTACGAGAGGAGTTCAGGAGCCACAAATCATAACTGAAAATTAACATCTTTTTTTCTTTAAAGAAGCACACACACGAGAAAAAAAAAAAAGATGAAGTTCTGCTCAGGAAGATAGTATTGTTTGCAATAATGAAAGCATTTTAAATGTAAAAACGTGTTATGTTTTTCTAAAAATTATCTCTAAAACATACCTATAACATGTTTCTGCAAAACGAGGCCAATGATCTGTAAACAAATGCTCTCGAGCTGCTGAGTTATCTGAAATAAAACCAGAGAGAAGTTCATTAAAAAGCTTAAAGTAATTTAACCAATGTATTTGACTAATTCAGTTGGAGAAGTTCTTCAAAGCAAAAAGGCTTTTATCACCTTTTAAATGCTGCATTAACGATCACAGTATTAGAAACAAGGCCTCACTGATATAAGTACTCAGATTTTCAGTAAACAGTATTGCTTTAAAACTTGTCACTTAAAGCATTTTTCTTTATGTAAAAAAGTCTATTTCATGGGTATTCTACAGTTCCTATCAAAAACCGTAGCCGTTGTCCTGTCTGGATATAAAGTAACGCTGTACTCAAGATGTTTGAGATAAAGCCTCTGTCCAGAATCTCTGAAGTAGAATGGGTTAAATGGAAGAAGAGAAGCTTTTCCCTGAGGTCTATGGCCAGAGTAGGCTCAGCAAGAGGAACACATGCAAAATCTGGAAGCACTCACATGCGTTCAAGTCGGGACTGAGCCTTGCCACGTTGAACAGAGACACTACGTTTATTAATCAAGCTAAATTACATGGACAACTATATGGCCACGTTATAAATCTAATTAAAAACAGCAAATACAGACATTTCACGTTATTCCCAGAGGTCATTCGTTACAGACATAATCTCACAGGTTGTCAGGCTCTCTGGGCTTGCTCTAGCAAAGGGACAGGTATGTGACCACAAATTCAGCCACTTCCTTTCAGACACTGGACTCAGAAGTGATCATCCCCTAAACTCTCTCCATACTTAACGGTGAAAGTGAAAGGGATTTCTAAGGAGTTTTCAGCCTCATATATCATTCCTATATTATTTATATCTCTTCTAAAATGATTTAAGGTCCTGAGATGAAGAACACTGCACAATATTTTAGTTTATGCTTCACACAAGAGAAAGACAAGCTGCTAAGCTTATACCAAAAATATCCCAACCCCAAAGGTTTTCCTAGGCTAAAACCTGAAAATCCACTTCAGACTGTGGCTCCCAATGCTCAGCTTAGCTACCAGATTTCATTTAAGCTTTCAAAAGATGCAAGGGGTTCTTGTAAAGGAATGAAAGATGTTTTGAAATCCAAAGGAACACAATGGTCTTACAAGAAAATAATCAGTATTTTAATTAATGTATTTTAAAATTCTAAGCTTCGTGAAAAGATTTCACACTTGCAATGAAACATTCTCATCATAAATCAAGGAAGCCAAACAATCTAGGACAAAGCAATGTCATGTCAACTAAGCTTCCAAGTTACTGACTGACTTTGCCTCTCTGGTCAGTCACTGAACTCCTTCCGGCCCCAGTCAGCCCAGGTGGTATGAACAGGAAGAAACTCTTTCTTCCCTGAATATGAGATGTAGACTTAGATCGCACCCCAACCGCGAGACCAATTCCTAGGAATTCTATCCAATAAATTGCTGGGTAAACATGAAAATATTGTAAAGAAGTAGCCTTATGCAGAATATTTCACCCTAAGACCTGTTTCAGTAGTCTGTCACACAATTATCTGATGAAGTGTTTACTAGAATAAGGGCTAAGGATTTTACCCTCAGCATTTAAATTCCACTTCAAGTTGAGAGCTAAACACTTAAGAAATCACAAAAGTAAACCAGGCTTTAAATTCAATTCTCTCAGAGATCACTTGGTCCTAATTCTCCATCCTGCTACAGAAAATGCACATTCATGTCAATGCAAGTGATGCAACATACACAGAAATGCTTGTTGTCATGAATGAAAGGCATGAGGGAACAGCAGGAGAAAAGATGTATAAAAGAAAATCTCACCTCCTTGTGATCTTCCACAACTGTCAGGATAGTGTCGATTGTGTGCAAGATGCCCATGGCCATAACTGTTTTGTCCTCTACTTCCTCATACTCCTCACTCTGAAGTACTTTACCAAATATTTCAGCCTAGGTCAAAAAAACAACCAACTTGACATTCAAGAGCAAACTCACATTTCTAATTTGTCATGCAAAACCAAGAGAGTTAATGCAACAGCAGCAATGCCTTATCTGTAAGAGCTGTCAGCTCTTACAGATAAAACATGCTCCTTACTTTTAAAAGGGGAATATAGAAATTTAAAACTCTTCTTTTTTGGCGAAGTCTGGCTATGTTAAGTCATTTGAAATGTTAAATAGTTAGAGCTTGGCTCATTTAAACCAGTGACAAAATTCACCATCTCTGAAAAACATACAGGTTTTAAAGATGCTTTATACAGAAAAAAAATACTGTGAATACTATATAGGTGGACCTTGATAAAGATTGCTTTGAACAGTGTGCACTACAAATAAAGTTCATTAAGTGTTTACCAAAGCAGGCATGTGCTTCTGACCAGACCATTATTTTACTATTGTCTCTTACCAGGTGTTGAGTCATGTCGACGGCGATGGTAGCTACTTCCTGACTGTACTCACAGATCATCTTCTGGATTACATTGGTAAGATCATCATTTTCAGTCTCTCTAACAATGTGCAAGAGCTCTTGCATAACTGGCCTAACATAAGGCTTCACGTACTCCTTGGCTAAAAAAAACAATTGAAACTAGGTGAAATCAACTATCCATAAACACAAATACACACTTACATCAAAACTTCCAGGTAACTGACTACTCTTGAACAAAATAATGGGTTTATTTGCTAATAAAACCCCAAAACAAGCAAACAAAAAGCCTACCCGAGGCACTTCTATAGCCCATGACTAGTAGACTAACAAAGTATATAAATTGTACATTTACCACATTCAATACTGAAACACCATCTATGACAAACATCCACTGTTTGGGGGGAATACACACCCTCATACACAGGCAGCATTTGCTCCTAAACATACAAACAAAGACAGGTGCTATTTACTTTATTAAAAGAAATATGTTGATTCTAACTCCTTTTGTGCAGAGAGCTGACATAAAAACTCAGGGATGTATACAGCAACTAATGAGCAGGTGAAGCTGTCTAAACACCACGAAATGTTCTGAAACCTCTCTTTAAATGGTAGCCATGTTTAGATTAACCTGTGCCAATCTCCTCATCCCTACAAAACAAACAAACAGGTGGCTGTACACAAGTGAGGAATCACTAGAGCATACCTTGCTCTTGGTTGCTTATTAACGTCTGAAGAGCTATGGCTGCTTCTACTTTGACAGGCATTTCCTTATCATCAATCAGACTCTTCTTTGCCAACTCTACTGCATTCCTCAGGTTCAGCTCATTGTGAAATTTCAAAGCACTGAATGAATGAAGTACCCAACAGGACTACAGGGCAAAAAGAAAAGCAAGTTAGGGACTGTTGCAATTTTTAGCATTTTTAACTGATGCAAAAATAATCCTAACTATCTGTTTGCATGTACTGCCTTCTTTTTCCTTAATTATGGGGTATTCATACGGTAAATGTAACAGTTTTTGTGCTTGAGCAGTTCTTTATTTTCCTTTCCCGAATTCCAATAAAGCCAGTATGCACATGATTGGCACTCAATAGTTTTGATCTTTCTGGGGGAAAAAAAATCAGAACAAAAAGTAAAGAAAATAAACTGTCTGTTTATGACTGATATGGGGACTTGGGGATTTTCTTCAAGTTACACTCAAACTGACATTGTCTACTCCGGAAATCCTACCCTTCTTCACACCCATCCCACTGCCCTAGTTATTGAGGTCTGCTAGCCAAAAATGGTCACAAAAGGGCCACAGCCACTGCTCAAATTCTCCAGTCTGATCAAAGAGGTAAACAATAACATGACACAGACTTTCCATCAATTCATTTAACTGACAAATCATTTTTTAAAACAAAATGCTGAAACATTACTGTACAGGGTAGCTATTGAAATTTTACTACGTATTTGCTTTCTTTCTTTCATCGACATTCAGAATGAAATCAAGCTTCAAAGGAAAGAATCATGCCAAATACTGAAATTGATGTAACTGGTGAACTTACCCTAGCTCTGAGGTACCCCAGGTTAGACATGAACAACGGAAATACATGATTCTGTAACATCAGCTCCATCTGATCCTTGAAGACACTCTTCTGTTGGTGTGAATAAAAATTAATTATGGACACCATTCATTACTTCATTCTAGCCAGTAACCCATTTCAACAGTCAACCGTGGGAAATACAATCATTTGCCTATGTAATAAAGTTTTTCTCTCAGGAAGAGATCGGGATCTCGTACCTTCAACTGAACAAACCTCACAACCATACAAGTTCAAAGCCAGGTAAGTGAAAGAACTAGACATGTAATATTCAACTCTGCATTACTCATTACAATCCTGCAAACTGGAATTCTCATTTTCTTTAAGGCAACTGATTCCAGCTGATTTGTCTTAAAAATTAATTGAGATCAATAACCTAGTACCTCCATTCTTCCTACAAAGGAGTACATACATAGCTGAAGATAAGTTGAGTGTGAAAGAGATCTGAGTTTCAAATGACCTACTGGTACTATAAGCATCAAAATTATTTATTTTACACGCTTCAGCAATAACGCACATCTTCTTTCATGTTTATTTACAGGCTAAGATAATTCTTTTGTGATAGAAATCTCCTGGGTTGTAGAAGGATATTCAACTAAGATAATTCTTTTGTGATAGAAAACTCCTGAGTTGTAGGATATTCAGTGAAAGTTATCTTTCATTATTCCAACCTTGGCAAAGCCCAGGACATTCACAGGAAGACAGGACCACCAGTCCCAGATTTGGGACTTCGCTAGCACCTATAGCCCCAGGACACTAGAAAAGATACATGCTGGGGGCTGTGTTACCATCTAAAGGGATGATTCAGTGGCTAAGACAGGAAGAGGGTGAAAGGGGACGTTCAATACAAAATGTGTCTTAGGTGTTGAAACTTGTACTTCACCAATTCCTACATCATTTTTTCCCGCACTGATTCCCAAACCTTCAGAGAGGCAGATGGAGAAATGGGCAGAGAAAAAACACAGAGAAGGGAAAAGAATTTTCCCTTATGCACACAGGTCAGAGGTTTGCATGCATGAACCTGGAACCTCTGCAGAGAGCCAGGTGCCTAAGGCAGGGTCATTGTGCCTACGAGCTCTGGACAACCTGTATCTCAAACAGCTCACCAGCCAGAAAGCCCTTACAGATCGAGTGTTTTACACACAAACAGTTCATGTCATTTTTCAATCTGCCAAATCCCAAACGCGAGAAATTCAGAGTTGAGAGGAGTCCGTAGCATTTGGGGATTATTACTCTTTTATAAAGTATATTATAACCCCATAAGTCAAGACTGAAAATTTCAAATAGAGTAGTATATTAGAATAAAACCCTCTTTTTTCCTCAGGACAGAGACAAATGGGTTTAGAAACCCACTCTGAATATGAAAGGCTCCTCACAACATGAACAATGTCACTGTTACATTCCAGTACGAGGGAGGGCATTTACAATCACACGTAATCTACAAAAAATCCTGCAAAAGTTACTGCTGCTTCAGGATTTCAGATCAGATCATGGATTGGTACACTGGCAGAAACAGATGGTAAATGTTGGTCAGATGTTGCTTGTAGCATGAAGACACATCCCGCACAAGAGAGGCAGCTCACACAGAATAAAATAAACTACTTTTAAAAGGAAGCCACCAGCCTTATGCTAAAAGTGATAACTTTTTGGCAGCTACTTTTGACATGGAGAGAGGGGATACTTTGGCCTCCACCATCTGCAAAAGCATAAGGGAAACCAAAACCGCTATCACATTAGAGAGAAACAGTGTGGATTAGATGTGTATTCAGGTTCCAGAAAAAGTCAAAATTCTGAAGATACTGTCTATAAAAAATGGACGAGGGATGGAAACACCGTGCTCTTTCCAGTTATTTTCAAAACTCCCAACTGGCTGATGAAACAAGGCTTAGAGCCACCTACTGCAGGGTAAGAAAGCTGGAAAGCTAGACAAAAAATTCCTGCAAGATGTTAAGTAAACCTTTTTCTGGAACCAGAAGCAGCCCACAGTAGTGCAGGCTGTTGGGGGGTTTGCTAAAGAATCATGGGCAATGTTAGTGATGGAATGCATGTTTGCTTTTTTAACGCACTTCCATTTTACCAGTAAAGCTGGAGAGAACCCAAACTGTTCTGTAGCAAACAAACAGAGCTCTGGAGAAACTTGAGAAGAAAAATATGGGTATAAAATGGGAATATAAAAACCAGGAAAGAACTGTAATATTTTTAAAGAAATAAACCCTCAGATTCTTACTGCACAGTGCACTCTCTCTGCAGACCTCATGAATACGGCTAAGGGCTAGCCACACTTTATAAGCTAAGAGTTTTTTATTGGAAATGGCAGTTGATAATAAGCCTTTTCCACTTCTTTACCCACTTACCTTCAGTAAAATATCTGCTAGGGATCCTATAACATGCAGAGCTCCATCTTTTTTCCTTGGATCAATGTTTGGCTCTGTCAGAATCTGGTAGCAATATGCCATCATTTTTGGTAATACCTATTGAAGACAGAAAACACACAATCTCCTTTTGTCAAATTACTTTAATAGCATTGTTTAAGTTAAAAAATTCATATGACCTTTTTCAGTAGAAATTTATCGTGCCCAAAGCAACTGTGAGGTACTATGTGTAGCATCTTTCCATAGTTAAAATGTAGAAGTTCCTTTTCAACTTTTCAGCCAAACGTGTCAGTTATTTAATTAATCTCCTTGAAATCTCACATGAGTTAGTAAATTCGTTAGGTATTTTTGTTGTTGTCTTGAGGCAAATCAAAAATGGTGGCGAAGAGGCAAGAGGCTTGAACAGTACCTCACACATTTTTTTCCCTTAACTCCTCTTCTGGCTTGTCTCACACCTATATAAATACATGCGTGTGTGTGCATGTATATGTATGAACATATACATATTCAAGAACAGCTTGGACTAAAACCTCATAAACTTAATTTTAACGTATTGATTCTGGCAGTAACTTCTAAAGTTGACTAGACTTAGAAAGGTTTCCTGGCACAACCAATTGTTTAATGTCATTTCCACACCCTTTATGTTCTTTTCAGATATTATGACATTTTGATGGTCCCAGTACAAATTATGAAAATGTGAAGGTCAGTGTGCAAGGACAGTTTTGACAATAAAGAAATAGAATGGTCAAAGGCTATTCCACCTGACATAAAGGCTATGCTCTTCTCTGAAAATCCATCTGGAAACAGAGCACCAGGTTTACTGGATGTTAAAACGGTACCCACAACAACATTCCCAGCTTTAGCAAAGTGACAGATGCTTTCCAGGGCTACACTGGGCACTTTTGTACAAGATCACTGTAAGTGCAGGAAGATCTACAGAAAAGCTATGTCCTCATTTAAAGAGCAGCTGTATGAAATTGGTTTCATTCTTGCTAATTTCATTGCTGTCAACAGGATTTTAAATAGCATCACTGAAAATTAGTAAGGATTCAGGTTCATTTTTCCCCCTGCTACAGTTTGCGAAGCTCAGAACAGCAGTGACAGAGGCTGTCTGTAAACCTGGGAAAATACCGGTACATCTACTCCAACTCAGTTTGTATCCGGCAGGTTAAATGTAAAGATGCCAGAGGAATCCACTTTTTGATTTATTTATACATACACACATATTTCAATTCTCCCAAAATTGATAGCACTCAGCAAGGAAGCATTTGACAATATATTAGCAAGTAGATTTTTCAAGACCAGCTTGCTGCAGCATCTTCAGATTTAAGGGAAAATGACATTATCAAGGAAACTTCAAATCATTAAAAACCGCTAGTTCCATACCTCTTTTCTCTTCTTCGCAGCAGTATAAAGGAGATTCTGTGCTGCTGTTGTAGTGGAAGCATAATCCTCAAACACATCTAGCAAATAATAAAAAAAAAAAGGCAAAAACCCCAAATATATCCTTTTCTGAATGACAATAAGATTTTTATAAACCACCTTTTTAGTGGAATATCACAAAACCAGGGTGAATATGGAACTTTAAACTATTGACACAGTTGTCTTCATGGTTAAAAAGTCAGACCCAGGCTCATGTCACATAGCTTGTGAAAGGATTGATTTCTCACCTTCCAAATCTACTGACCACTCAGCATTCCCTTTATTAGGAATGCGTTATTTATTCATTAATTCTTTTGAGACCATGTATTTAAGGGATGAAAAATTAAAACCGCTACAGGAAGAACAACAATACATTCCAAGTACCATCTGTACACCATATGTATGTGATTTTGGCTTGACTTTATTAAAACCTCATGGGAAACTTTTTGTATGTAAAAACTACTTGCATCTGGGGGTAGTTTTAAATCTGCTGAAAGTTGAAGCTTTTTTCCTTATAAGTAAACCTCCTTTAATCATACTGAAAATATAATTTATATGTCGAAAAAAATCTATGTGCTGCCAAACATGTTCTAATCCAAACATCCCTACACAAATTGAATAAAATAAAAAGATCTAAAAAGGGAATCTTAAAATGTGGGTAAAATTACACCCTAACTTTTCCTCAGAACTTCAAGACAAAACATGATTAAAAAATATTACCAGACTACTGGAATTCTTCTTCCAAACCCAACTGTGTCTCATTAAACTTCAATTTAATGTACTTCCATGCTTGTTTTTTTTTACCTTCCACAATACAATTTAAATCTGTATTTAACTGTCTCAGCTACATATAAAAATAGCATCCACTACTTCTACAGAAAAAATGAATTCATATACCAAAAATCAGCAACATAATCATACACCAGTGATCAACACTATATTGTGATTAATTTTTTGCATAACAACCCTCCAAGTTTTGAGATTTAATTTAATTATAATAATTTGAATTATTATATGAACATTCAAATTCTGTTGTCACATATGCTAACCACAAATAACTAATTAAAAATTCCTGAATATTATATATTTCTGTGGTGCCTGGCTTACTGCAGTTTTCCAGCTAAATTTACTGTATTTTTAAAGCACCCTTCTCTTTTTCAAAGATGACTCTTAATAAAAGTAATTATTCACAATTTAGTCCTATATGATATTCTCAAGATTTTGCACTGCCTCTTTTGAAAGAATATCTAATTATCTTACCATTTAGTAATAATAATTGGCCAAAAAATGTGTGGTGCCTGGCTTACTGCAGTTTTCCAGCTAAATTTACTGTATTTTTAAAGCACCCTTCTCTTTTTCAAAGATGACTCTTAATAAAAGTAATTATTCACAATTTAGTCCTATATGATATTCTCAAGATTTTGCACTGCCTCTTTTGAAAGAATATCTAATTATCTTACCATTTAGTAATAATAATTGGCCAAAAAATGGGCATTA